GGGTGGTGGGCGCAGGGGTCGCTAGCCAGCAGCTGGATCCCAGGGTGCTATCACCTCACCGGGGGTGGCTTCCCGGGCTGTGAGCCCCGCAGGCCCGTGTTAGGAAGGGCATCGCATCTCATTGCGTGCTGTGTCCCAGCCAACTTGAAATTCAGCATAACCTAGGGCCCCGCTTTTTATTCTGCACTGACACCCATAAATGACTCCTGGCTGCTACTTGCCCTCCCGTCACCCAGGTTCCACTGGGATAGTCGCACCTGGGCCTGCTACTTGAACAATCACCATCAGGGCAGCTGGGCGTGGGTCCCTGCTTGGAGCAAGGGTGGGAGCTAAGCTTTAGCCCAGGCATGACCCAGAGGCGGTGCCTTCTGTCACCTCCCAGAAGGGCTGCCTTTTTCTAATTCGGCATAAAGACGCTTGCTTTGCTGGCGGGAGCCCTGCTCATGTCCACGGCCACCCTTAATAAGAGAAATGCACATTAAAACTCCACTGAAATATCATTTGTATGTATCAGAATAGATAAAAATCCAAAAGCATGACAGCCTGCCCTGTCGACAAGGCTGTGGGGGGGAAGGGCGCTGTGGGAGGGCCAATCGGTGTATCCATCCACATTATGAATGTGTTTATCCTTTGGCTCAGCGACCCCTCTTCCAGAAATTTGCTCTATGAAGGCACACAGGCACATGCAGAGCAATTCCGGGGGAATTTTTTCATTGCCACATTATTCTGAATTGGATTGGAAATAACCCAAGTATCCGTGCAGAGTGGACTAATGAAACAAGCAATGACGACCTGCAATGGAATGCATCTGTTTAGGGAGGGAGGCTTTCTCTGTGGCAGATAGGAAATCGCCATGAGGGCAGCCAGGGAAACGAATGGGGTGAAGGGCAGCGTTGGGGGCGGGGTGCTGCATTTATGGAGGAAAGGGTGGAAGTGTGAACACGTATGTGTTGCTATTGCCATACACCTTAAAGGACACACAAGAAGCTCATTAGAATGGCTGCCTATGGACAGAAAGCAGGGCGAGCATGGGAATGGGGTGGGCACAGATGCGTGAGAGGAAGACTCCTCGATGTGTAATTTTTAGCCCCATGCTTGCATTTCCTATTCAAAAGAAAGTGAGCATCAGCAAACACATTCCCCTCCTCAGACAGCCACCAAATGTTAGACAATATAGTCTCATCCAGGAATTGGCCAACTGCGGCCTGTCAGCCAAGTCTCTCTGCTGCCTCGTTTTGCACAGCTTATAAACTAAGAACGGTATTTGCATTCTTACATGGCTGGGTTGGGGGTGGGGGAGAATCAAAAGAAGGACCATATTCTGACGATTCTGTTTCAGGTGGTGAATGTTGTCAACTATATTTCCTTTCCTTTAGTGGGTGCCGTTGTGTGCATGCAGGTGAATTTGCAGAGGGGAAGGGATGAGTCCTAGATTTGATGATTGCCATTTGATATCTCCTCCGCCCCTGCCCCCCCAGATGCTCTGTTCAGGATTTCCTCATGAAACACCTGGGAAGCAGCCACACTGGCAGGAAGCCGCACCCTGAGGTTGAAATCAACCATCCCTGGGATTTGGGGGTGCGGTGGAGGGGGAAGTAATGAAAACGGAGAGGAAAGAATGGATGAGCAGCCTGTGTTGTCTTTAACAATTCCTCCCCGCAGGGTATCTGGACTTGAGCATCTCAGCTCTGGCTTCGGGGCAAAGAGGCAAGACTCCAGGGCACAGCCTGCGTCCTCTCAGACAGTCCCGGCTTCATTCTTCCTGCTGGACCCTGTAGGTTCTTTTGTTAGTGCTTCAGATCCAAGCTTCTCTCCCAGATCTGTAGTTTTGCCAGGTTGGTTTTGGCAAAGGGAGCCACCGAACCTAGGCCAATTTGCAATCTCAACAGAAGAAAAGGCAATTATACAGGGGTGGGCAAAAATAGGTTTACAGTTGTATGGGAAATACTTTATTCTTGTATTATTGTATTATTTTTCATGGGAACAACTGTAAGTCTACTTTTGCCCACCCCTGTAGAGTGCCATTATCTTGTGTATAATTTAAAAGCACGCAAACATATATCTAAATAAACAGATGAAGGATAGACTGGTAGTGGAGATGGAGGATAAAGGGGAAAAAATGAATAAAATACAACAGAGTCTTGCACAAACAAATGATGATAGTGTGTTATGAGGAGAAAGTGTGGTGCATTTGGTTAAGCAATTGGTCAATTTTAAATGCATTTATCCTTCTACTCAGCAACTCCACTTCTGGAAATCTATATATCTAAAAACCGAAGTGTCCATCCAACTGTCCAACTGGTAGCTATGACATGCACTGACCACCAG